TTTTTTGTTGAAGTTGATATAGGGACAGGAAGACGTAAATGTTTATTTGTTTTTCTTTTTTTCGTGAATTGTAGTTTGGAGATGCACGGAATCCTGCTGAATTGTACTCCTTATGGATGAAGCACATAGGTCTGTTGAAAAAATAAGGTGAATGTTCAAATTCCGTAGTAATGACAGTTGTGGCGTCCGTGTTGAACTATTTCGTAATTTCAGTGTATAAATAAACAATTTCCATGTAACTATCGGCGGTGAAATTAATTATCACAAATTGATGAAAGAATTCACTTGTTATCAACATCCTCATTAACCCGCTCAAGTTTCAGATAGTATTTTGATTTATGACATACAGACATATGTAGGGCATAGTGAAATGAAAATAGACGAAATGCATCCTAATTAGGAGCGTTTCTAATCATGAAATGGATCTGGAGGAGTAGGAAATTGAACAGTTTTATAAAATATACATTGGATCTCTTTGAATGTATGTCATTTCCATTTAAAAAATGGCAAATAGAAAACTGACGTGCTATTATTCACAGTCAAAATGTATGTATTGATAAATTCATTACCAGTTTGTACTTGTGATGCACTGTTTGGAACCTTTGGTGTAGTAATGAATATTACTGGAGTTTTTTCTCAACACCAAATCGTTATTTTTAACACCTCGACACCACCAAGTGATCATCTTCAATAGTCGTAAAAAATTGTTTTGCGAATATTTTGTAAATACTGAATACTCTTCGTGGAACTGTTGAAACTTTTTGTTGCAACAAGTTTTCAACATATAACCCGGTCATATCGAAGTAGGTACAACAATTGAACTGATAGTTTTTCTGATTTAGTTTTTCCACTATGATGTTTTTCAAATATATGCATGTTGTTCCAATTAAGGTACAAAAAAATGCACCCTCACGGCATAGTGTGCTGTGCGGGAATTCAAATGTAGGAGTTTCCCAGTTTTATCGATTCCGTCCGAGCGTACTTATAAGCGGATTATGACCCACTATCAGAGTGGGAGAAATAGCAGATTCCTTGTTTAATGAACGAGTTACGATATAAAATTTCACTTACATGGATTACTATTATCCTCAATGACGGACTTCGAAGTAAGATACTTGTCTATTAATCAACACCTTCCTGAATGATATTACAAAATAATTAAATCACGATTTTATGTCACGGATGACGTAAAATCGTGATTTCAGGAATGAAACATCTTGTTATATTATCCAGACAGGTGCTGATGACATAATGAGAGAAGTGTCTTATTCCAAAACTTAGAAATCCTCCACTGAGGATGATAATGTTCCATGTAAGTAAAATTGCATATCGTAACTCTTTCATATGAGAGGTCTGTTCCAAAAAAAAGTTGAATTTTTATTTTCTTTGTAAATATCCATTCATTTTCTATTTTGTCTCCGTCAGAGTAGTTTCAGATATAATAGAGTAGAGCAAAATGTTGAACACATAAAGGATTACATATAAATAAAACAACATTTGTATCGGTATATCGATAAATAAAATTATTCTCTCGTATACGGGGTTATTCAGCTAAGCGTGGTCAACGCCAACCAAAGTTATACATTTTTGAATGGAACACCGAGTATATGAATATGTCATTTGATTCCATAATGTTTTAGCTCTCTAAGGAATTTTTGTTTTCGAATTTCCATTGCGGCATTGTCAAGTTATGAATCATTTGCTATATTTCAGTACAAAATTTATCAACGATCATCGATTATTAATTAAAATATATATNTGTCCATGGAGTCGTTTTTCTACTTATTATACTTTATATTTGAAACCTTGGACTTTCATTTTCTCTCGGACTGAGAAAAATACCATCCTCGTAGAGTAAGATGATGTTAAGAGAACAAAAATAAATCAAAGATTTTTTTGGCAATCTATCGAGAAGAGAATAGTGGGTGAAAAGCATTTCAGTTAAGATTAAAATTCAGTTCTGGAACCACATAATGATGGAGAATATAAGTAAGAGCAGATTTCAAAAAGACCGGCCTACAGCCTTTTTCGGAATTGCCTAACTTCCAAATTTTGATGTGGAGAAATCTGCATCTGGTGACAGCGCTACTAAAATTCATTTCAGAAAATAAATAAAGGAGATTATAGCTAGAAAGCTCCTTTTATCACAATGCATTGGATTCGTGACTATTACACAAGCTTGGCTTAGATAGCCACGATCCTTCATAGATGTAATTTATAGTTCTGTAAAACAAGTTGTAATGGTTTATATTTTATATTAATCTGAATTGAATGAATTTTTAGCTTGATATCTGCCCGCGAATAGATCAAGCAATAATGTCGATAATTCTGTCAAATACAGATCCCGAGCTTGAGAGTTACAAACAAAAAACAAACATACATACATACAGTAGGGTCTGATGAAGCTAATGATCCGTTTTTGAGCATTAAAGATTTTGGTAATGTCCAATGGCGACACTATACTATAATGTAGTGAGAAATTGTGGAATACACAAACCCATAGGAAACCTGTAATAACGAATCTGTGTTCAAAATATTTCCTAGCATTACCATAATGTAAAAAAACACTTGTTGATTTTTTAACAGACCTTTTGTATTCGTTTCTCCCATGTTAAGTTGCAATCTATAAGAGTTTCTAAGAATTTGGATGAAGTGTTATTATTGATTTCATAAGTTATATTAGAAGATATTCTATGTTTTGTGTGAAACTCAACACTACGAGTTTCGTATGGAGTAATTCGCAAAATGTTTCAGTCATTATACAGGGTGTTCCTTAAACACATGCTAATATTTAAGGAGGTAATTCTTAGACCCATTTTAAGGAAAAAACGTCCTATGGACGTATGTCCTAAACGCCTTAACTTTTGAGATACAAGGTGGCAAAGTTTTCAAAAATAATCAGTTTTTTAATAATAACTGAGATAATTTTGTAGACATCTTTGGCATATTTGGTACATATGTTCCATGCCTCAAG